TCCAAGAGGGTATCAAGATGCTGTGCGAGGCTGGTGAGGAGCTTGGAGACTACGACGATTTGACGTAAGTGCGAAGAAGAAATCCTCAAGGCTTGACTAACGTTTCCAGAACACCTCAAGAGAAGCTGCTTGGTCGTCTTGTTCTCGAGAAGTACAACACCGACTTCTACACTCTGGACCAATTCCCTCTCGCTATCCGTCCCGCGTACACGATGCCGTCACCCGCCGACCCTGCTCTCTCGAACTCTTATGACATGTTCATGAGGGGTCAAGAAATCTGCTCGGGTGCGCAGCGTATCCATCACTCAGAGCTGCTCGCAGAGCAGATGCGCAAGCACGATCCTCCGATTGATCCCGCCGGTGCTGGAACCAAGGACTACGTAGACTGCTTCAAGTATGGTTGCCCGCCGCACGCCGGAGGCGGTTTCGGTCTGGAGAGGATTGTACAGTTCTGGCTCGGATTGCCTAACATTAGGATGTGCAGCCTGTTCCCCCGAGACCCCCAGCGCGTTGTGCCCTAAAGGTAATTTGCTGAAAGAGAACGATGAAACACTGCTCGACAGCGTCGGTTTGGCAGGAATGGGTCACGATGATGCACAGCACTCTCGTATAAAAAGGGTCCTGAGTTGTGCATATGGTCTCAGAGCTGACGAGTATGGCATGAGGCAAAGATTGAGGATTGATCTATTGATGACGTCGCGTCTCATGGAGCTCACGACCCGTAGTGCCAATCGCAGATACTAGAGAAATATAAATATATTACATGTTCATCATCCAGCCTACAAGCACACTACTCTTTTGGGCAATTGTTCTGCAGCGTCTGCTTGCTTCCAACGAGATGTATCGCCTATGACGACCTAATCGTGGTACTTCGGACGCGCTCTCGCTGGAACACATCTAATTCACTCAGGTGGGCTCATTAGATTCCAGCAGCTTTCATCCAGTGCGATCAGACGCAGATAGTCAACGAAATCTGACAATGCAAGATCCGTCGACAACTCAACCTGGCAGTGACATGGATGCCGACCTCTCATGCGCTGTGCGTGTTAGTTGCAAACGTCGAGTTTTGCCCTTCACAGCTGGTCATCCGCCAACAGCTAATAGCCCGCCTACTATTAGTCTTCACACAGACCGACGTGCGTGCTAATGGCGCCATCCTCGCATCGTGCGATTGCAAAGTCTGACATAGCAATCTGCGTATCTTCCTTAACATTGCTTCAGCGTCGCGGCAGCAAGCTTCTTCTGTGCTTCGTCCCCGAGGGCTGCGGCATCCACCTCTTGTATGGCCTGCCCAATCGCCAATGTCGTCTTTACGTTTCCCCCATCAACGTGCACAAGTCCGTTTCGACCGACGGTAACCTCGAAGCCGATTTTGGAGCCCAGGGTTTCCAATAAAGATATGCCTCCCCGCGCTGCAAGCATCCTCCGTGCCATACCCAGGCTGATCTTGAACACCATACCCCCCTTTAGCAGACCAAGACCTTCGCCCTTGCCCGTAGAGGGATCAACACAGGTGAGCTCTGACGGTAGGTCCTTGCCGGCACTCGCGACGCGACAGTAGACCAGGGAGTTTGGGGGCAGCTGAGGTCGTGTTTTTTTGGTCGCGCCCTCGAAGGCTAAGTGGGGAAGGGTCGCAGCCGGCGTGTTCGGGGTGAGGAGGCAATTGAAGTTCTCGGCGGCAGAGCCATTCACAGTCGCGATGACGAGGTCGCCTGCAAAAGGAAGGTACTGCCGAGTGGATTAGCAAGTATGCTGGAAGAGACAAAATATGTTTCTCACTCTTCCAGTGTTGTACTCGACCGAAGCAGCGTTCTTCTTGTTGTCTGTCACGAGCGCGCCCGCGACCGTGGCCGTGACCGTGTCTGGCGGCGTGTGTCGCAAACCGGGTCCGAGGGTGAGCGTCTTCTTTTTGCCTGTGCCAGTTGGCAGGGCGCTCTGCGCGATGTTGTCGCCGGGCAGTACAATAGTGGCCGACGCTGCCATGGTAGTGCTCGCAAAGTGGTGTCCTTGGGTGTGGTAGAGCACCTGGTAACATGCGCCGTCCCTCGAGTGAGCTCATTCCGAGAAGCCCGTGCGCTTCCGAGAAAAATGCACGACTCTGAATTTCTTAGCCGCGAAGAAACACACGCGCTACAAACGCTACCACAGCCGGCTATCTTCTGTCCACCTGCTCCTGCCGCTTTCTTGACGATACCGAACGGCTTTCCTTTGACTCGAACCCTCTTTCCGTAGCCCGAAAACGTCTCCCCGCGCAAGATGAGTGCGCAAGCGGACCCCGCGCAGCGAGTCGCGATAGGAATATCCTTTGGCAACTCGTACAGTTCCATTGCTTTCACCTCGGGTGTAAGTGCCCATGTCTGGCGCCGATGTCTCTGCATGTTTCTGACACACAACAGGAAGGCAAAGCAGAGGTCATCGCCAACGAAGACGGAGGTACGCCGCCTGCTGCACGCCCTGGATCCCCTCGACTGCTAACACTTGAAAAGACCGTCAGATTCCCACTGCCCTGTCCTATGTCGAGGGAGAAGAACTACACGGAGGCCAGGCCAAGACCCAATTCGTCCGCAATGCGAAGAACACAGTCGCCTACTTCCGCGACTTCCTCGGCCAAGAGTAGGCATTCCTGTCCTTCCTGTCAAACCACGTCGACTGACACCCTGCAGCTACAAATCGATAGACCCCTCCCCATGCCACCAGTCGGCCCATCCCGTACAGCACGAAGACGGCGTTGCGTTCAACATCCGCGACAGCGCCGACGAGCAGGAGAACACCGTATCCGTTATCGATGCCACAACACGTCACCTGAAGAGACTACGGAGCTCTGCCTCCGACTACCTTGGAAAAGAGGTCAACGCCGCCGTCATCACCGTACCCACAAACTTCAGTGATGCCCAGAAGGAGGCCCTTAAGAAGGCTTCGACAAATGCTGGCATCGAGGTCCTACAGTTCATCCACGAGCCCACAGCTGCTGTCCTGGCATACGATGCCCGTCCTGGTGCGCAGTTGGCTGACAAGATCATCGTCGTCGCCGATCTGGGAGGTACCCGTTCGGACGTGGCTGTGGTTGCGTCCCGTGGCGGCATTTACACTATCCTGGCCACTTTACACGACTACGATGTCAGTGGCTCCAAGCTCGACCAAGTCCTCATGGACCATTTCGCCAAGGAGTTCCTCAAGAAGCACAAGTCGGCCGGCGACCCTCGGGAGAATGACCGATCGTTGGCCAAGTTGAAGCTCGAGTGCGAAGCTGTCAAGAAGGCGCTTTCCATTGGTACTACCGCCAACTTCTCCGTCGAGAGCTTAGTAGGCGGCACCGACTTCACAGCAACCATCAACCGCACCCGCTACGATCTCCTGGGGAGCAAGTTGTTCACTGCTTTCACCCGTCTTGTCACCCAAGCTGTGGAGAAGGCCAACTTGGATCCTCTCGACATCTCCGAGATCATCTTGGCTGGCGGTAACTCTCACACTCCCAAGGTCGCTTCAGCGGTACGCTCAGCCTTCCCGGAATCCACCACCGTCCTCGCACCTTCCACATCCCCATCAGCCATCAACCCCTCGGAATTGTCAGCCCGTGGTGCTGCTATCCAGGCCAGCCTTATCCAGGAGTTCGAGCTTGAGGACATCGAACAAAGCACCCACCCTATGGTCACTGTCACACCCCACCTTTCCACCGCTGTTGGTGTGCTGTGCATCTCGGGTGATGAGTCCTCTGGCGTTTTCCACGCCATCGTTGACGCGGAGACACAACTACCTGTCCGACGTACTGCGACCATTACAACGCCAAGAGAGGGAGGTGACGTGCTCATCAAGCTTGCAGAAGGCTCACGACACATCAAGGTTACGAAGCCAGAGCCAAAGCCCAAGGCTGAAAAAGACGAGGATGATTCGGATGACAGCGACGACGACAGCGAGGAGGAGGAAGAGGAGCTACGGGAAAAGACATGGAAGGTTGGACAAGTGTTGAGCGAAGCCGCAGTCCGTGGTGTCAAGAAGGGAGGGAAGGTCGAGGTCCAGATCAACATTGGTGCCGACCTGAGCATAAATGCCATCATTCGCGAAGTAGGTGGCAAGGGCGGTATTCGTGGTCTCATTCAGGGACGCAAGGTCAACGGCAGCGCCTAGTACGGGCCCGGCTACTATACAGATGCGCCAGCCGCTGGACCGCAAAATTTCCATTACATGCTGCGATATGAACGACATACACAGCCTGTGTTTCTACTACACCAATTTCGGTAGCTCGGATAGTATTATCGGAGGGCTTAGTACCTCTACTTGATGACAATGAAGAGCATCTGAGCCCTGATAATCCAATGTGCTAAGGAAGTTTGCATTTACTGCACATACTGCAGGGGTGTTACTTTCGATACGCTTGTGCGAGCATCATATTGGTATGCATTCACACCCGTACGGCCAGTGCTCTCGAATGAGGAGTATTGCTAATACAAGAAATGAATTATACTAGTCACTCGCAAGACCACCAGTTGACAGTAGGGTCTACGCAAGCCCAACCCATTGAGTAAGAGCATGGAGTATTCGTGCTGTGATTCGTATCGAAACGAGACAATAATGTAAGACAAAAGCAAGTGACCTTAATCGTGATCGTCTCCATTGGAGTGTCCGTGTATCCAGAAACGCCAAGAATGCTCAACTGTATTCCGTACAGCATCGTCCATCCATAATATGCAAAACCCCATGTAATCGCACAAGAGGAAGACGACAAACAAGCAAGAGCCAAGGTATGCAAAGACGCCACAAGTGCGCCCTTCATCTGGCTATGTTGGATTTCCACGAAGGCCAAACCTTGAAGGGAGGCAGCACTCAATGGGAAACCTCAAGCCGCGATGAAGGGCTGACAGGGATGACAACAGCATGACCGAAACTTTGCGAAACAGATACCAAACACCTTATCCCATCCACGCCTACCCAATGCCTGCATGGTATTCCAAACTCCGTAAACAGATTAAACAATTTGAATGCCAGCAGGACCGATGAGATGACTACATGAGGCGCAGCTTCTTGGGTGGGCCAAGGGCGCTATTGAAGAAGGAAGACTCTACGGGGCGCTTCTTGACGGTGGTGAAGGGCTGAGGCGCAGGCTTTATAGCCGACAAGGTCGCTTTCGATGGCGTCGCCCCAAGGAAGATGGACTTGGATGGGGTCTTGATGGCTGATCTGCTGAATAAGAAAGACGACTTCTTGAGGGGAAGTGTGCGAGGTGCAAGCGGGCTCTTGTCGTCGAAAAACATCCCAACTTCGCAATTTTCCTTATCGTCATTGAAAGAGCGATCGAACTCAGAACTTGTCGGGGTGCTAGGCATTTTACACTGGGAGGAAGGAGGTAGCGCATACTTGGAAGGAGTCTTGAAAGGTGTGAATGGCTTCGCCGTAGTAGTGGGCAGAGGAGTTGCTGGCTTCGCAATCGATAGGTCGACTAGGTAATGGTCTTCGTCCATACGCTTCTTGTTCGACTCACTATCCAACACCCACCCCACGTTGACACACTTGATGGCTCCTTTGCTTTCAAGGCACTTCTCCAGTGTGGACATGCTTCCATCCTTGAAGAGAACGTGGCTCAGAGACGCATGAGATATGTCTTGGACTACCTTCGCGCCGAGATCCTCGAGCAGACCGCGGAACAAGAAGTTCTGCTCCCTACCGTTCCGTGTGACATCGACGTAGAAGACCATGCCCTGGAGGATGCCTTCGTAGAGAAATAGATCGCTCTCGTCTGCTTGAACATCTGTCCAAGCGACAGTCTTCTTAGGAGTCTTAGCGTCCATGACCTTCTGAGGTGATCGCAAGGCGGACTTCTTCGGTGACACTGGCTCGAGGCCTGCAAAAGTAGGTGCAAGTTTGAGCGGAGCCAGTTGCATGGTTGGCTTAGTGATAAAAGGAGAAGCCTCGACAGCGGTGTCTGGAGGAACAATCTCACTGAGTTTGCTAGCGTCGGTGAGCTCACTGATGTCGGCAAGCTCGCTCGATTCCTCGAGATCGAATGAGTCATTCTTCAGAGTTGAGAATCTTATAGGTGAGGGTGTCTGCTTCTTGACTGAAGCAGTGATCTCTTCCTGGAGAGCAGCCTCAAGAGCCAGGCTTGGTGTGGTGGGGTAGTCGGGCAGTTCAGCGAGAGCGCGACGTGGTGTCATTGGCGCCTTAATATGAGCTGGTGTTTTGGGGTAATCTGGAAGCTCGGCCAATGCTGCCTTGGAGGTCACAGGTGCGCTGATATGAGCTGGTGTTTTGGGGTAACCCGGGAGCTCGGCCAATGCTGCCTTGGAGGTCACAGGTGCGCTGATATGAGCTGGTGTTTTGGGGTAACCCGGGAGCTCGGCCAGTGCTGCTTTGGAGGTGATGGGCGCGATGACGTGGGCGGGTGTGGCAGGGTACGCCTCAGGAAGCTCCTCGAATGCTTCCTGATCGGTGACGCCCCAGACGATGTGTGCAGGTGGAGTGCCGGAAATGTCCGAAAACGAACGCTGGGCGGGCGTCGCATCGTGGTATGGTGTCTTTAGCTGGACCGATATCGGGGTCTTTGCAGCCGGGGTGAAGGAGACATCGACCGTAGTCTGGCGGCCCTGGCAGTCATTTTCTTCGACATTGCGAGGGTTTTTGACGTGCTGAGGGCTTCCTGGCACCTCTATTGTGGCTTCGATCACGCTCTCGGCAGCCTGAAAAGTATGGCAAGCCTCAATCTGCTCGACTGCTTTTGTCTCCTGAACATCGCCCATGACGACGTCATTGTACCCATGCTCCATGAGTTCGGCCTGAACCTCGGGTGTAGCGATTGCAACAGATGCAGCGACGTGCGAAGGTGTTGTGGGATATCCTGCGAGTTCTCTAAGAGCGGCTTTGTTCGACAAAGGTGCAAGGATATGCGAGGGAGTCGTGGGGTAGCCGGGAAGCTCGGCGATTGCCTCTCTTGAGGTCATGGGGGCAGTGATGTGGGAGGGGGTTGTCGGGTAGCTAGGGAACTCTGTGAACGGCTTCTCGATTGCCTCCACGACAGGCTCCTCCACCTCCTCCATGACTGCATCTTCGTCGGCCTCTAGAACAGATCGCTCGATGATCTCAGCAATAGGCTCATCAAAGACTTCAACAACAGGCTCCTCGACTGTTTCAGCGACCGGCTCAGGCTCAGGCTTCGCCTTAGTGACAATAGCAGCCTTCTTTGTAGGCTTGCGGGCCGGAGCCTTGAGAGGCGACTCCTGTGGGACTGCAGGGGCATTACGGCCGCGTGTGGCTCTCGGTACGATGGCGGGTGCGGGTGCGGAGACTTTTGGCACTGCTGCTTTGCGTGTACGGGGTGCTGGCTTAGCAGGCTCGCTGGTGACGGTCTTGTCGACAACTGCAGGCTCGCTCTTCTTGGGGATGGGCGTCTTCTTTGCAGGTGCTTTGCGTATAGCTCTTGATGTTGGCTTGACTGCTTCTTCGACGGCAGGCTCTGGGGCGACAGCAGGCTTCTCGACCTTGGGGATAGGTGCCTTTTTTACTGCTGCGATCTTGCGCGTACGGGCGGCAGCTGGCTTAGGGGCCTCTTCAATGGGTTCGGGATCCTCTGTAGCGGCAGGCTCCTCGGCTTTGCGACCACGCGTGGCCCTCACTGCCGGAGCAGGTGCGGGTGCGGCTCTGGTCTGGGCCTTGATAGTGCGCGCGGCGTTTTTTGCAACAGTCTTCTTGGCCATGGGCGGCTCAGCATCCTCAGGCTCAGCCTGGGCTTTGCGCTTCACAGCAGTTGTCCTTGTGGGTTTGGCCGGGGCAGGCGCTGGCTCAGCAGCTTCCTCGATTGCCTTCTTCCTGCCGCGCTTGGGAGGGGCGTTGAGCGTGTTGGGGGGTGCAGAGGCGACCTCTGGGGCGGTTTTCGCACCGCGACGTGTAGCGACCATGATGTCTGTCGATGTTCGCGGTCTTGGTGGTATGTCGTTGTCGGTCTGGGGTGAGACTGGTTCAGTCGAGGTTGTGGACGTGCTTGCCGTGTTGTGTTGTCAAAGCGCCAACGACGACTAGCCGCATCGGGATACGCGTTGCTCCAGCAACAATCGCTTGGCCGCTAATCGCATACTTACAGCAGCATGGCACGAGACGATTACAGCAGCAGACACTCGGGTGCGGACGAATGACGACCATGCCTATCGATTGTGTATCACCCATCCAAAGCTATACGTATGACTTCCATGCCCACTCCACAGACCAGCACCCTCGCATCGCCACCACTATTGCCTTCATCAAGCACCGCCATACTAGATGCATCTGCAACATTGGTCTTGATTCTATGCAATCTCTGGACCGTCAGAGCGCCTTCATGATCTGCTGCAGTTTTAGTTCCAGCTTCGGAGTTAGTCTCCCGCAGTGCAATCTGCCACAGTCTGATCCACTCGTCATTTCCTGACGTGACAAGGAAAATGCGTGATTTGTGTCTGAAGAGAGCGCACGACGTTACTCCAGAGCCATGTGCGCGGTTGACGAGGATCGGTGGCGAAACATAGGTTGTCGTAGGCGAAGTCGATGAATGCAAAGACGTAGACCGTGCGAGTACACACGCCAGACCGCCATCGTCACCACCGGATACGATGAGCCAGGTATCCGCATCAATGGAGCGGGATGTCATGGCCTTCGATGAGTTTTGATGTATTCTTGCCGGATGATGCCATCCCAATTGATCATTTGACCTAGTGGATTGCCCAGGCGATCGTTCGGTTTCTGCCATTAGCGGCCATACCACGGTATGGCCATCGGTACCAGCTGTCAAAACCTTTTCTCTAGAGAGGAACATACACTGTGTCAAACAGGATGTAAAGTAAAGACCCTTTCCAAGAGACTGCCATGTGACAGCAGCGGCAGGATCATAACGATAGACCTTGTCACATCAGCGCCATGCTACATTGAGAATACGGAGACCAGCTCACCTTGATGCTGGAATCTGAGAACACCATCGTGATAGTATGTGCGGATCCCGATGTGATCACATCGAAAGACATGAGTCTCAAATCTGCATGCTCACTTTCTGGCGTGTACACATGCTCGCACACGACTCCAATCTCAAGGGCAGAGGCGGGTAAGTCCCGGATCCGCCATACATAGACTGTGACGGAAGTTAGCAGCAGCTCTGCAGCTTTGTACAAAAGTCTTACATTCTTCACAGCCCCCACTGCTAAACAGATAATCACCGTCCTGCGACCATTGTAGATGCTGAATCCCTGTGGTGTGCTTGCGAATAGTCCTTTGGCATATCAGATCATCATTAATATAGTGGAATATCTTGATATCGGTATCCTCAGCGCCTGTGGCGATGAGTGGGTGAGGTCTACCGTTCATCTCCGATGCAACTGCGACCGCCTTGAGCTCGCGTCCATGACCACCTCGTCGAACGACTGTATGATTTGGTCTGTTCTGACTGCATATATGCATACTAGAGGCTCGAGTCCATACTAGGGTACCGCCTAGCGACGAATGTGACCGGAAGGCCCAACTTCTATGGGCTCCTCCGGTTTCGATACTCATGACTTCTTCTTCGTTAGTCACATCGTAGAGATACCACTTCTTGCTTGAGAAGCCGTGTATGAAGAGTTGATCGTCCTGGAAGTATAAGCCTTCGATGTTTGGTCCGAATGGGACCGCAAGATCATGCACCAGCTCGACAACGTTTGTAGATGCATCGAATTGGTGTACGCTGAGACGCCCATCTCTTCCTATGGAGAACAGGTGGCCGTGTACGGAACCTTCAGACGAGGGACGCCATGTAAGAGAGGTGACTGCTTCCGCACCATGTGCTTTCTCGATGATCCGTAGCAAGGTAGCGACATCTGTGCCTCCTTCGCCTTTACGGATTTCATAAAGTGCGATCGAACCCCGACGAAACCCAACGATGACAGAGTCTCTCCCAGGTATTCTTGCATAAGTCATACTTGTGATAACCGAGCCGGTCGGAGATTCTGCAATGGGTATCTGCACAACTCTCAGAATGCTCGTGTTGCTATCAGGGTCCACGTATAACAACTGCGCTTCACCTTGACCAACAAGGGTCACAAGTAATGCCGCTATATTTGAGCCATCCGTGTTTGATACCTCTGCAGCGAAAATATCTCCGACTTTGCCATCAATGGCATGCAAGATTGCCAGGGTATTTGACTTCTTACTGTACACGTAGATGTTGCCGCTATTACCAGCGATGTAAGCGAAACCAGGACGGGAGCCACTCGTGCAGACAGAATAACCAGAAAGATCCCTCAGTTGATCGAGTAACGTTGAGTTCGCGAGGAGGCTTGACTGACTGGGGGCTGTCTTGGACGAAATGGTGCCGATAAGTACGTTTCCAGAGTTAGTAGTAAGCAAAAATGAGTTCTCATCGACAAAGCAATAGCTCCTGAAGAACTCTGCTTTCCTTGAAGACTTTGGGCCGCCCACAGATTCAGCCCTGTTGTGATCAGACTCGGCCATTTGCGCCCATGATAGTATGTCGTTTACGGTATACTCAGCGATCGCGCCATGTAAATCCTTCTCTGCCTGCAGAATGCGAAATAACGGGGTAGCGGTGACTTTACTATCAGCGCCACCAGCAATAACCTGCTGTATTCCTGTGGAGTCATTGGAAACAACAGTCGACCACAGGTTCTTTCCACTATGGTGCGCGGTGTAGTCAAGTTCTAGCAACCTGTAAGGAAAGCTCGTGCTACCTGAAGGGTTTGGTGTAAGTTCCCATGTCCTTGCAGTTGCATCTTCACCGGCAGACTGGAGTAACAATGATCCATTGCATGGCGATGCTTCGAGAAAGCGGACCGTCCAAACGCGTGAAAGATGGCCCCATCCGATGGCGAGACAGCTCGAGCTATGGAACTCATCCGAGTCGAAAGCTTCGTTGGTGAAGCCGGTATGGCGAGTCCTCAGAACCTCCAAGTCATTGCTATGAGCTTCCGAGGTAGTGGCACTAGTGTTCACATCCGAGACGTCCCATATTCGGATTGTGCGGTCGTCGCTGCAGCTTGCTACCACCCGCCTCAGTCTTTGACAACATTCGGTCGGTAGCTCTTCCGAAATCTGAACCCCGAAAATTGAGCCCTCGTGACCCAGAAAGACGCGATGGATACGGGAAGCCAATCCACCGCCGCTATTGTCACACCATGACCAGTATATGATTTCACCGAACGCTGTCCCAGCAGCAACAAGAACCTGGTTTAGATTCTCCCAGAACAGGTGAGCGGAGTAGAGGATAGATCGAGAGCTTGAAGTAAGATCAGATACAGCTACATCGATATGACTGAAACTGAGATGTCAGCAAGGAAATGGTACTGCAACGGATCAATGTGTGGAATGCGCACTTGGTCATGTGGATGTCGTCCGACGTCCTTTGTTCCATTTCAACGTGCAGCAGTGCGTTATGAGCAGTGACAGCAATGCAGGATCCTTTGTGGTACTGAGCATCGTCATCCAGGCCTTTGGGACGAGGAGCGAGATCAAGAATCCAATCTGAAGCCTTCGCGACGTTGGAAAAACATAGGTTCAGGCCTTGGCTGCCAACTTGACCTGCAAAGCCAATCTCGAGGGCGCGGACCAGCCTTCCACCCCAGACGACGAGTTTGGTGACATGCGCATGCTCTTCAGAAAAGACGCGTATTCCATGGATTGCTTGAGCTTTGAAGACGCGCTCGGAAGAGATGTACCGCGAGCCCTTGGCATGGTGGAAGCGTAGAAAGGGGCCTTCTGCAGCGATCAGCAGAGCGCCGCAAGAGGCCAGTGCCGTCACTGGTACGCGAGTGCATTCATGCTGCGGTAGTTAGCTGCTGTCTGACTCGATGCAATGCAGACTCACATGTAGAGTTGGCAACATTGGCTCGCCAGAATCACATGTGAGAGTGGTGTTCATGATGGGAAAATTGGGGTTGAGTCAGCCCCGCGAAGTGTGGCGGGGCAATGACGGAGTGCGTTTCCGCGATTTTTTGTCGGCCTTCACCGCGCTGAGTGCTGCTGCTGCACGCACCCACGTCACTCTCTGCACTCCCACTTCAACCTGCACATAGATAATATTCCCTCAGCGACATCGCCAGAATGTCTCTCGCAGGCCCACTAGGCACGAGCATCAATCCGGAGGAGACTGAGAACTTTGAAGATGCAGGTGCCCCAAAGCCAGCGCGTGGACAGTCATCGCTAACAGTGTCCATAGATCGAGAAGCAGTTCGCGGTCAAAGGTACAGAACACGATACCTACCGTTCGCGACCATGCTAACAGTATCGTCCAGTCGTGCAGCACATGGAAACATACTGGAAGATCCTCGAGAAAGTACCCGGCTCCAAGCTGCGACTCACCAAGATCGACGACGAAATCTACGAACACCTCAAGACGGAATTCCCCGAGTTCGACGCATCAGCCACACTAAACGAGGATGAGATGAAGAGCAAGGAGGGCAAGGAGCGATGGCGCAAGTTCATCAGTGAGTACGAGAAGAAGGTTGAGGACTACAACTTCGGCACAATGCTGCGCGCAAGTCCCAAGATGGAATACAGCCAGGAAGGCACTATATTCGCTGTTCGAATGCAGTTCTACGCTATCGAAATCGCTCGGTAAGCTATGCCCTAGATACAGCGGCGCGCCCGATGCTGACATGCGCAGTAACCGAGAAGGCCTGAACGACTGGATATACGAGAAGGCGCAGGGCAAGTAGTTCGCCGCAGGATGATCCTGGAAATTCTAAATTCCAAGCTATTGTTCGCAAGGGACGCCAATACGCGGCTGCATTGTCGACATCCGGCCCGTCACTTGTTCGTCGCTTACGAGCCCACGTTCTTTGTCGGGCGCCCAGCTATACCCGTCTATGAACATCCGTCGTGCAAGCCACTGGATCATCGGTGTAGTATCATATTGGCTTGGTAATTGACGTATTGGTGAATGTGT